AACGCAGTAAAGGAGCAGTATGTTATTTGACATGAATCGATGTTTTATCTATGCATTCATCTTTCAGGATAACGAGAGTCCGCCAACTCGTGAAGATATTCTTTTGTATCAAAGTCGAACCAAGAAAGTTCTGGATCGAAAATTGGTGCCTAAAGTCGAAGACCTATGCACTTGGATTAATCAAAATCCCTCGTATGAAATTGTTAAACCTGCTTTAAGACAATCAATTCTACTGACAGCAAATGAATCCAAATCGGCTATACAACCTACTCTCGCACGTTCACCATCATTAATCGCACCAAAAACTCCTACAACACCAACAACGCCAACTTCAACAAAGCCGAAACTTTCCTGGGTACCAGTTGCACCAAGTACAAAGTCAGTGCCAATTAAAAAAGCTCCCGTTCAACTCGGCAAACAGACAAGTAATACACCCAGTTCACCAAGCGTTCCCAATTATGCCGACATTCGAACGAAAGTTCCTCAAGCGTTATACGATAAGTTAATAACGAGGTAAGGGCGTGTCTTTCACCCATTCTTTCTCTTTACGATCTCCTATCGGTTTCAGATTGGAAAAATCTGGCGAAAAAACAATTTCAAACGAAGACATTCACACCCTTACAAATAAAATCGAAGAAGAAATGTATCGCGTGTATGGTAAAGTCGATAATTCTTATAAGAATAAATTTCGATCCCTTCTGGCCAATATCAGTAATATGAATAATAATGTAATTCCCTTGTGACATTGTTCAACAAAAGACTTTTCCGATCGTTTATCTTTCTAGTTTTTCTATAAACATATCCTATCGAAAGAAGTCACAGCAAAACAAATCGTAGCTATGAAACCAGAAGATATGTTACCACCTGGTAAGATTGAGAAAGAGGAGAGATAGAACGAAATAATACTTTCGATTGATCTAGAGGAGAAAGAAAAACGCAAGGATGATTTTAACAAAGAAGTTCAAATGATTATGAAAGCCGAAGAACAAACAGCCGAAGAAATGGCAAGACGAGCTCGAACAAAACTCACTCGACAAGGCATTGTCGATAATGACTCAGTTTTAACAATGTTAAAAGAAGTAAATTAACTTTGTTGAAAACGTTTCGACTAATGATTTTGCTTTTCTAGAAAGAACAAATAATAAGCCAAGAGAAAACTAATAAAAGCACCGAAGCTAAACCGGTTCAAACATCTGAAGTTAGTCGCGGGCTTAAAAAAGCCGAAAATAATTCCAATGTCAAATCGATTCCAAAGGCAAAAAAGCCGACGACACTCACAACAGGTCAAAAGCCTGCACTCAAGCCTAAGCCAAAACCTAACCCTCCAATTTCCGCATCTACGGATGATACAAAGTCAGCATCTAGTGATCAGACAGTCAATGTCAGTTCAACCGAATCGAAAGTGTCATCACCAAAACCCATAATTCCAACAGAAGCAATATCCCAGCCTATGGAACCATTACTAATGGCAAAGCAAGTAGATGAACAATCACCGGCATCACCAATTCATGAAGAATCACAAAGATCACCGCCAATATCAACATTCATGCCTGTTGATATTGACAACGATTATATCGAGCCAGAGAGTCCAACTGGTATCGATGCTTTACTCTACGATGATGACGATGATTTGAATAATGCCGGCACCCACTCTCGTCCCTCCATAAGTCATCAACTTTCTGAATCGTCCGGTGACAACACTGACTACGTACCATCAGTACCAGCATCAGTTCGTAATGATTATAATCCTTTGACTGCATCGAAACCAAAAACAGAATCATCATCAGCGTAAATTGCAGCAATCGTTGGAAACATTGATTTATAAATTTTTCTCTTTCTTTCCCAATAGATATTTACCCACACCGATCGCTCGTCCCTCAAGTGCCAACATTCAATGGCGTGGTGTTATTCTTCCACCTGACGCAAAAATTCCATGTCAATCTACACAAATATATGGCGATAGTGAATATCTCATTGCTGACATTCCTGAACAGCTTGGTGTTCTTGGTCGTCTACGACTGGGTGATCTTTGGGATTATGTCCGCGATTCACTTCCTGTGCGCGACGTCGTCATTCTTACACTTGTCTCTTCCAATAATAATGAAAATCAAGCATTTTCACGCTACGTTGAGTCCATGCGTACATCTGGTCGTGCCACAGTGATCAACAAACGATCGGAACCAACAGTCATTCGTGATATGTACGTCCTACCAGCTGATACAAAAGACTGCGCATTAAATGTTCTGGAAACATTCTCACTACCAAAAAGTATTGATTCGCAAAAACTATTTCTTGTTGTCATTGGTGTTGGGAAAAAGTCCAGCAAATCTGCCAGTCGTTCAAATGAGATTCATTCAATGAGTAATCTGACTTATAAACCAGTGGCTTTGCAAGATCCAGCATCTCAACGAGATCCTCGATTGCTCAGACACAAAGATCCACGCTTAGCGACAAGCACTTCAGCAGAAACAACAACAACTATTGCCGAAAATACTAGTCCTCCAACATTGCAATCGTCAAGTATTGATCCTATGAATCAAATACCACCGAGACCGTACGTAGATATTTGATTAATTGAACAGTTCTTATGTCTATTTATATTCAGTTCTGCTAATGACTTGAACAAACTTATCTTCGAATCTCTTGAGCGAATACGGCAATCGACGTCGCTCGATGCTATTCAATCGATAGCTCTCTCGACTATTGATTTGTTGAATTCTTCTGGACATGCAGATCTAAGCGCAAGATTCGCGAAAGATCTTCAAGAAGTTATGTCACAATGGCAAGCTACAAAAGATTCCGCTGTCAATACTTCTACAACATCGGATGATAACCTCAACGAAGAAAACATGGAAGTGGACGATGAACAAGATGATAAAAACAAAAAACAGTCATCATCTATCAGCGAATTTAACGATGTTGATTATCGGTTTCTTGATCCGGAAGATATAGATCATCGCATGGAAACAACGGCCTATTCGGCCACCGGTCAACAAAATCCGATGATTAAATCCCATTTCTCTAGCTTATTTCGTACTCATATTGATGCCGACGATCGATCGTCAACATCTCACTTGTCATCAGGAGACCGAAAGAGAGTCAATTCTTAATTGTCAATAATGATTTCATTGTTTTGTACAGGTGATAGAAGAACAACATCGTGAGAAGAAAATGAACCTCTAAAATGTTTGCTAAACTAGCGCTTACTTGTTTTCCTTTTAACATATGGCTATTTTGTTTCTCGAAATAAAGAAAGAATTTTGTGAATATGAAAAAAACGCAGCTAACTAACTAACTGTTTTTGAAATGTTTATTATATAAATAAAGCGTTCTTTTTCGAAAGTTAACAACTTTTCATATCACACAAATCGACTGTTTAAAAATGAGAGAAAATCAAGTATGACAACCCGCGCCTTGTAGAGCTTTAACGCAGATGAATTAACGCAAATTCTTCTTTTGTTTGGTAGCCATCCCATACACCTTGTGGCTGAGTCGGTTTTGGAATGGTTCTATACTTAATGATCCAACCATTCGTCGATGACAAGGATAAAACGGAATCATCGTTGTCAGAAGTTTTGTTGGAATCACAACATCTATAGTAAGAATCAAGAGATTTGGATATAAGCATGTAATTTTCTACTTTACTCGAAAGTCGAAGTTTTATCTGCCATGTTTTCACGCACGATTAATCTTTGATAACGGCTTTGCCAAGTGATGAAGCAGGTTGCTGTAAGAATGTCGAAAAGGATGAATGAATTACAGACAAGATGATATTACTCACATTTTTCCAAGTTTTACGAACGGGTTTAGCTAGATGTTTTGATGATAGCATTCAGACATCAAATGAATCGGTTAATTCAATGACAGTATGAACGAAAAACGTGAACATGAAATCTAGCCAATCAATGCACGTTCTACTCCTTGTACTATGAGACACATCATCTTGTCAATGCGTGACACAATACGAAATAAGACGTGATCATCGAAGTACATATATACTTTTAACTCGTTCTCGTGCCGAGGTGTTCATGTTCGAACAAATAATAGTTATATCTAATTCTCATCTTTATTTTTTACAAAATACAACAAAAAAATTGTTTCGATGTTAAGTGATCGCCAGTTATCGATAATAGATTGCACTACCTTCCTTCCTACAAAACGACAAGCATGATTTCGTTTTGAAAGGCAAACACGTCAAATTTACCAGTAATTATCTAATCGTTTCTTGAACAATGGGTCCATTTGACTTGTATCAAAATCCGCGCCTATATAAAAACATCTCTCTCAACAGTTTCTATTCCCATGTGTCCACATACTTTGAAATGTATTCGATTTTGTTAATGAATCGTTATGTTCTTTCGTAGTTGCTAGTATACTTCGATCGTTGACATCACTTTTCAATGCACTCAGACCAGTTTCATACGCATCGACAAATTTTGATATCTGAAACCGATCTTAATCTTTCTACTTATACGGTTCGTTTTCATACTTGTTCATAGTTTTGCTTGGCGTTCTTCTTCCTTCTCGCCTCGACTTTATTGTACTTGTATTGCAATTTTTCCAAAGCATCTAACTCTTTTTCAACTTCTTGTCGATCGTAGGTATTTCCCGACTTTTGTAAATCTTCAAGTGCAGTGTAACGTTGGTCCAGTTCAGTTTGCAATTCTACAAATAATATTGATTTACTGAGAAAAACAAGTTCAAATGAAGTTTTTTGATTACGTTCTAGTAAGAGATCATCCGCTTCGATTTCTTTCAGATTTTTTTCAGTTGTTGGTTGAATATGTTTGGAAAAACCTGACAAAAAATGTGCATTATTCGTTGTTTTTATTTAATTTTCTTCATACTTTCGTTCATACACGTTACATACAGAAACGAGTCCATTTGTCTAAGTAAAATGAAAGAAAGAAGAAGATTGGATAAATGGTAAAAATCAAACGAACCAATCAGAATCGAGTTGGGCTATAACTTTACTCATTTGAATTTAAAAAGACAAAAGCATGTCATCGATCGGCTCCGGAGTATGTTAAAAATCTTTTCCATGTCGTTAAACCAATTCCTATTGTGATTGTGTTTCAATTAGTATGATTTAAGTGCTTCCCAATTTTCTCCTGACGGTCGCGTCTTTCAAGTTGAATATGCCAACAAGGCAGTCGAAGCAAGTGGAACTATCGTCGCACTACGATGCAAAGATGGTGTTGCATTTGCAGTCGAAAAGATCGTCACCTCTCGTCTATATGAATCGGGTTCCAATAAACGAGTCCATAATGTTGATCAACATATTGGAATGGTTCGCAAGAATGACTATTGTTTCATCGAAATAAATCATTTCTATTTAAGGCTGTAGCTGGTCTTCTAGCAGATGCTCGACAACTCTTAACTGTCGCTCGTGATGAGGCTAAACAATATAAGCATGACTATGGAGTGTCAATCCCGGTGAAAGTAAATACGAGCTTTTCATTTGTGATCTTTTAATGAGTTTGATTCAGTATCTAGCTGATCGACTTGCTATGTACATGCATGCTTATACACTGTATGGATTTGTTCGGCCATTTGGCTGTTTCATCCTCTTGGCTGCTTATGAAAGTGATGGTCCACAACTGTATGGCGTCGAACCATCAGGTGTGACTTATGTAAGTAGTTGTTTTTAGACAAGAAAAAACTGGTTCAAATAATACTGATTTGATTGCTCAGAATTACTTTGGTATTGCTGTTGGGAAAGCACAACAAACAGCGAAGACTGAAATTGAAAAATTGAAGGTAAAATCTATCGACCATTGTACAACGGATATACATTCGTATATTGGTGACGTTTTAGCTGTCAGAATTAAAATTGGAAGATGGAATCAAAGAAGCAGCAAAGATGTAAGCTTGAACGAATTCAATATTGTCGTTCATATAAGCGAACACTTATTCTAGTATTTATCAAGTTCACGATGAAGTCAAAGATCGAATGTTCGAGTTAGAACTCAGTTGGGTGGGAAAGGGTAAGTCGACTAAATCAAAAGAAACAATTTCGAATCCGATTCTAAATTTAGTTAACGATGGCAAACATGAACGGGTACCAACAAAAGTCTTTGAAGATGCTGAAAAATTCGCTAAAGTAAGACGAAATTCTCGTGCATGATAGACCATATTGTCATACTTGTTTTGTATTTAGGCATCGTTGGAAGAAGCAGATGACGATGACGATGAAATGTAGAAAATCTACCATTGATCTTTCATTTTTCTTTGTTATTTCTTTTATCCAGCGAGAACGACTGTTGTCCTCATAGACGGGAACATGTCGTTTCTTTTAATCAAGATGATAAAGAACAAATTTTTACACACTCACTGATGAATAATAAAAATAACAAGAAAAAACGAAATTTTTCTCGAGATATATACTCAATTCCGAGTGGCAGCGACAAGAAACGAGAACATTTGAGCTGTAAGTATAGTCATCATCAAACTACCTTCCAGTATCGACTAGAATAATTCAATTTATTGATATTGAATTACGTAGCTCTCTTTTCGCTTTCGTATTTGCTTAGAGCGCGATAGGCATCGAAAAAAGAGAACTGATAATACACCGCATTGTTTTTTCTTGATTGCTACTTGTCTGTGTATAAAGCTGCTTGTGTAATCGAAGAAAGGGCAAACGCATTCCTTTTGATTTGCCTTTCTAACGGAGGACTACATGGCACATACAGAGTTCGGCACTTTGTTAGAACAAACATCGAAGAAATTGTATGAAGTTGTTGATGATGCTCATTCGTTGGATGAATGGAAAACACAGATGGTTTGTTTAATTAATGAAATTGTTCAACTGAAATCATTGTATTCGTCAACGACAACAATACCACAACGTTGTACGAATACTACATCTCTCGATCCTGTCGACTGGTCATCGGCCAAGAGCGTCGCTCATCAAACGTTGGATGCCACTCTTAATTGCATCCAAACAAGACGTGATAAACCAGTATGGCAGCCGATTCCAGACGATATTCGATCAGTTATCAATGACGAATCACTGCCTAAACACGGCCTAACACTCGCGAAAGTATGTGACGATGTATGCAATTATGTCCTACCGTATGCAAGAGGTAATACACATCCTCGGTTTTGGGGTTGGGCGATGGGTGAAGGTACGCTTGGTGGCATATTAGCTGAAATGTTGACAGCAACAATAAATATAAATGCTGGCGGATGTACGCATAGTGCAGTTCTTGTCGAACGAAAGGTTATTCATTGGATGCGGCAAATATTTGGTTTTCCCAAGACAGAACATGGCGGAATAGTTGTTAGTGGAACATCGATGGCTACAATTGTTGCTTTGGCGTCGGCACGTCGTCGATTGTTGACGAATGTCCGAGAAGATGGTATCGTTAATGCGCCACGTTTGATAGTTTATGCATCGACCGAAGTACACATGTGTGTAATCAAAGCATTAGAACTGCTAGGTATGGGATCAAAGGCCATACATTTCATTTCAGTTGATCATGACTTTCGTATGAATATTGACGAGCTCAAGGCAGCGATTGATGACGACCAAAAGAATGGCTTTCTTCCATTTTGTATTATCGGAAATGCAGGTATGGATGTGAGTCAAACTGTTTCTGTTCACTTTCGCTTGTCCATTCCAGGAACAGTTAATACTGGCGCTTTTGATAATCTTTCCGAGATTGCATCGATTGCACGAACGCAAAATCTCTGGTTTCACGTCGATGGTGCTTTTGGTAGTTTGATTATACTCGATCCACAGCGACGTCATTTAGTACATGGTATAGAACAGGCCGATTCTTTAGCCTTTGATTTTCATAAATGGCTTCATTGTCCTTACGACGCTGGTTGTGTTCTCATTCGGGATGGCAATGATCTTCTATCGACATTTTCTGTTCATCAATCTTATTTGGCAAATACGGAACGTGGCTGTGCCGGTGACAAACCATGGTTTTGTGATTTAGGAAGCGAATTATCACGTTCATTTCGTGCGTTAAAAGTATGGGTTACATTAAGAGAACATGGAACAATCAAGTTAGGTGAAAAGATTGGCGACAATTGTGAACAAGCGCAATATTTAGGTTCTCTATTAGAAAAACATGCATCTCTCGTACGTGTCATCCGTCCAATAACATTAAACATCGTCAATTTTCGGGTGGAACCCGAGGAATTGGATAGATCTAACGAAGCTCTAATAGATGTGTTCAATAATGAACTTTTAGCTGATATTCAAATATCTGGTATTGCAGTTGCATCAACAACTCGTATTCATAGGCGACTTTACATTCGCGTCTGCATTATCAGTCATCGTACTGTTCTAGAAGATTTCGACATATTTGTCAACAATCTTCTCGATGTGTGTCGCACTCGTCTACACAATTTGAATTCATCTGCGAACTAACTATTTATGAATATACAGAATAGAGTTTTGATAATGAAATAAACAAAAATTAGAAATCGATTGTTTTGCGTTTGATGACAACCGAGTAGTTGTTCATATTGCCTTGTAGCTCTACGTGCACAAAGTTAAGATTGAACAAGTTTATTACGAATCAATTTATGTATTACTCAACAAAATAAACATCATATCTGACAATAGAAAAACAATATCATTATTAACTTCTTGATCGACGTTTTCGTTTTGTTTTCTTCTTATGCTCTTCTTTCTTTCGTTTCTTTCGATCATGCTTTGAGTGTTTCTTCTTTTTCCTTTCATCTTCACTACTACTCGTCGAGTCTCTTCGACTGGATTTGTTTATCTGTCGTTCGTAATCTTTGGGATATTTCTGCATGAAAAATGCATGATCCCATCGATCCGCGTCGACTCCAAGATTGCTTGGCAATGGTGGACCAAATTCGGCTTCTGTCTGCGGATTGCTAATTATTTTCACGCTGCTTCTATCTTCAGATGACGATGATGACCGATGTCGGTGCTTTTTGGAACGGGGCGAGCGTGATCGTTGTCGTCGTTGAACAGGATTTCTCTCTCGTTCTTGTTCACGTTGACGCCACATTGCGTCTTCTTCCGTGAGACGATTATGAAAAGTCACAGTTGTGATTGATCGCTCAAGAAATCGGTGCCGAGATGCCATTTATTCGTATCGATATTGTATCGTTTCTGTTTGCGGTGTTATTTCAACATACATGATGAAAAATTTTGATGGTTTATTGCATTGACCAATTGGAAAACAGTAAACAATCGACATTCCATACCATTTTATAGATTAATATTTTTCTTTTAATCCATTTCTATTCTGATTCATTGATTAAAATGTTTAGATGTTGTCTCTCGGTTGGCCTCAAACAGCATTAAAATAAACCATCGATTGAGTTTATCTGCTCATTAAAATGAATCCACCAAGTGACAATAATTCAACGGTTGTGCAAAAACCGTTGATGGAGGTGACAGAAAAGGATGCGTACAAAGAAAAACTCATCGCATTTGTCAATCCGAAATCGTATGAAAAGATAGAACTGTTTTCAGCAGAAATTTGTCGATTAATTATTGTTTAGTGGTGGTTTACAAGGTCAAGTGGTATTTGAACAATTGAGAGCTCAAATAGGTGAAGAGAATGTTTATGACTTGATTAAAGATCACGGACCACAACGAGGCTTAAAAGAAAATCAAAACGAGAAAAATTTGAGAATTATCGGTTTGTATTGATTCTTTCCTTGTGTGTTTTCACAAGCCATAGGTAAACCTGATCTTTTTTTCTAGCATGCGGAGGCGATGGTACAGTTGGTTGGGTACTATCTGCGCTCGATGCTTCACAGATGCAGTATATGGACTTTGTTAGTGTCGGCGTCATTCCATTAGGAACAGGAAATGATATGGCAAGATTTCTCGGCTGGGGTGTTGGATATCGTGGTGAAGCGCTAGCGCCTGTCATTCAATCGTTAGCTATTTCAGAAGCACGCCTACTCGATCGATGGAATATTGAAATACAATCTACGGCTCACACAGGTATCGCCACTTTAAAAGTAATTTTACTAATATAGACAAACGAATATGGCCAATAAATGTTCGTCTTTCAGATTCCACAACCTGTGTTCAATAATTATCTTAGTTTTGGTGCTGATGCTCAGGTATCGTACTCGGAAACAACAACAATTTTAGTAACGGTTTGCTCTTATCTATGTAGATTGCTCTTGATTTTCATGAGAAACGCAATGCGAGTCCGCGTCGTTATGCTAATCGAGTATTCAATAAACTAGCGTATGGCTGTATCAGTTGGTATGTTAACAATTCCACATTGACTCATTTACATTGATGTTTCTGCTTGTTAGTAATACATTTTTCGATCGTCAATATCTCTTTGGAAATATTGCTAATTTCTTCGAGCTATATGTCGATGGAAGGAACATGGACGAAGATCTCTTTCGCTTTCGTCCTGACGCTATTCTGATATTGAATATCGCATCGTATGCGGCTGGAACGAATCCTTGGCAAGGCACGTATGATAATCTTTGGTGTGCACAATCGCAAGCTGATGACGATCGATTTCGTGAACAGAGTTGTTCAGATGGCTACTTAGAAATCATCGGTTTTAAACATTTCGAATTAGCACGTATTCGACTTGGACGACGTGGCCATCGCATAGCACAAGGAAACGAAATAAAATTAACTATTCGACGAGATTTACCTATGGAAATCGATGGTGAGCCATTTCTACTCGGTCCTTGCCAGATTACAATCACACGAAAGAATCAAGCTCGAATGATAATCACGGATCGAAGCCAGGCGGCTCAACAAATTCAATCCAAACGTGTGTAAAACCTGTTGAGAAGAAACACACGTTTGTGTTTCTTACATCCTACTCCTCGTCATTCTAGATTATTCATTCAGACAAACAAATAGATCCCATACGCGTTTAGACATAAACATACTCTTTCTCTCTCTCTCTCCTACAATATCCTGTTACTCTTTAACTCACGTCTTTTGTGTTTATTGTTCGTTTTTATTTTCTTACTAATATTTGTGTGCGAGTGATCTCCTATACATTCTATTCATTTTCTATCTGCTACACTATTTTGATAAATTTTATGTTGGAGAATTGAATGTTTTTTTTATCTCAAAATTTTGAAATGAAAAAAAAACTGAAGAATGTTTCTGAAAAAATGTGTGTGATCGTCAAACATTGTAGTTGAAATTTTTTACTAATAAACTGTGCTCGAATGAATGTCAATACTCAGCGATACTTTTTCTACGAAATCTACCATGAATAAGTAACAGCAAATAACTCAAATACGAATAGCATTGAGAATATGTCTCAGGTATCTTTGTTATGCAAAGAAAAACATCTCTTTCTTGTGAGTCAACGGCACGTTACTGTAATTTCATTCGACAAGAATCATGACTTTTCTGTTATTGCTACTGCTGAGCATAATGAGATGTCAACAACATCATCATACCTTGGCGTGACATATTGTCGTTGCTATGACTTTAGTTTGGAAGGAAATAGTCCTTCGTCAAGTCTTCTCGATCTTTAAAAGTACGATTCTGTGTTAAGGTTTATTGTTCGAGAACAGAATACCACATAAATATTATTGAGTACTTTGAACTCGTACAAACAATCGTCAAGAAGTGTGTAAACAGGCAAAAAAGAAAAAGAATAATTCGCAAGGCGTATGGAAAACCAGAGAGAAACGTTCCTTTCTGATCCTCCATGCGTCCTGTGAGCTGTTGTTTTTGTTCTATTTTGCCTATTTATTCACCTGTCCACGGATGATGTCATCAGTTGGATCTCTTATGCACGGAGGACTATCACTTCATTAGAATCGTACATGGAAATGGCGATATCAGCTTGGGATAAATGCAAAAATTTCACACCAACTAATTGACTGTTCTCAATTTGGTGATTACATTTGTGATATATCTAAATATAAAATATTTCTCTTCCGAATGTAACACCTCCTGTTTTACTTGTAGATCTTCGGCATCACCGGTTAGTTGCCAAACTCTAACATAGCAATCGTCACTGACGGACGCAACTAATCCTTCGTCATTACAATCGATCGCATTGATACATCGCGAATGTGCAGTGATTGAGCCAACGATTTGCGCTAATGAAATGTCCACAATAATCACACATAATATTTTTGAACGATCTTTACTTACCATTCTCAACATCGAAAATTTGGATCATACCGTTCGCATAACTTGCTATAATACAGTTCTTCCACATTGCTAATGATGTTATACCTTCGGTGCTCGTAGGTTGAATATTACTGATCTGCGACATCGTGCCAATATTCCATATAAGGATCATGCCAGTAGTGTCACTCGAGACTAAGTATTCATCATTTGCTACTAAACCTGTGATACCATATTGATGACCTTCAAAGATTTAATGAATAATTTTGCATAATTGAAAAGATCGTTGTTTACCTGAGAGTGTTTCTTTGAGAAAAATATTCGTTCCTTTGGGTGGAATATTAAACACAAGAATATCACCATTATGGATACCTGCAGAAATATAAGGATCAGAATTCCGCATAATACTAGTGTGGCGATTTTCTAGCGGAAGAGACATATGCGTCGATGTCTGTACGCTTTCATTTATGTCTCCGTCGCGAGGATCGCAACAGTCGTAAACAAAACACACTCTTTTATACGCGCACGTTAGATAAGGAGGGTTAGAGTGAGAAAAGACAACCGCAAAAACAAAACCAGGGGCAAGATGAGGGCAAAATATAATGCATATAACAGCTTCGTCACAAATAAAATATGCTTACCAACACAGAGTAAATTTTGGCTTATACCGACAATACCGCGAGAATATGTTGATGCTTCTGAAAATCACTTCAAGCGTATACAACTTATTGATCATATTATTTAATTACCGATTCTTCCCGGTGGAGTTTTATCGAGCATATGAATATGTAAATTTGCAGTTCCTTCGGGATCATAAATCTTCAATTTAACACAGAGGCACATATATGAATACGCTCTTTGAAAGTCTTACTTGAACACTTTTTGTACAAGCCAAAACCAATATACTTCGAACTGGTAGACTGATAAATGCTGCCTACAACGACTCTTTGTGACAGAATCAGTTAAACCAACAAAATCTTACTTGTACGACATGAGCAATAAATCGAGCATCATTGTCTGCCACAGGTGTATTATCAGTGCCTATGGCTCGAGTGATAACTTGGCCGTGAATTTGTTTTTTTCCATCCTCGGAAACTGTCGCCTTCAATACAGCTATCTTAATATCGATGTTTACTTGACAATTTGTCAACCTACCATAGCAAAGCCACTTTTATGCGAAACGCCGTACGTCGCCACTCGTGATTTTGCAGAACGTAGGACAGTGAGATTATTCGGAAAATGGGAAGCACTCCATTTAACAGAAATCGACTGAGACGATTTCGTATACGAAAGAGGCATATTCAGGCTTGATTTATCTGAAACGATCCATTATTTTATACTTAATTTTTTTAAATTATTCTTGCAAAAGAAACTAAAAAATTTACAAACGTGTGTCGGAGAAATACTCAAGAAATTCACAATTATGTTTAATGTGCCTGCATTAGACATTCATCAAATGCTAAATAACTAATGTTATTGCACTCGCTTTTTAGTGTGTGCGCTCGTCTCCTATCAAGTGCTTTCATACTCGACGACAGAACTCGATAGAAATGGTAAGAGAATAAAATTTACATAGTTTACTCGGCCATTGGTATTTGCTGTTCTACAGCAATACCTCTATTCAATCAAACTAACTACTAATGCACTTCAATACTGGTATTATTTTTTCTAGAAAACTTATACTAGTCAATTACACAATCAATTTTCTCTAATGAACAATAAACGAAAGGTTTTACACAAGTACTCGATATTAACATTGTATGTTCGTGTTTACTTGTTTATTTTTTCCACCTATCGTCGTTCGTCCATTGATTCCTTCACTCGTTTGAATTCCAAGTTTTTCTCGTATTGTAACGCTCTCGTTTCATCGAACTATCTTCTCTTTGAAATTTCAGATTTTTCAATATCTCCATACGACATGTCGTCACCATTGATTCAACCAGAAAAATTTCAACATATTCTTCGTGTACTCAACACGAACATAGATGGTCGTCGCAAAGTTGGTTATGCTTTAACAGCTATCAAAGGTGTTGGTCGTCGTTTTGCTCATGTTGTTATACGTAAGGCCGATGTCGATGCAACCAAACGTGCTGGTGAATTAACTGAAGAAGAAGTCGAACGCGTCATCACCATTATTGGTAATCCAAGACAATATAAAATCCCTGACTGGTTTCTCAATCGTCAAAAAGATATCAAAGATGGCAAATATTCACAAGTGACATCCAACAATCTTGATACCAAAGTTCGTGACGATTTAGAACGTATGAAGAAGATTCGTGTCCATCGTGGTCTCCGTCACTATTGGAACTTACGTGTACGTGGTCAACACACAAAAACAACCGGTCGACGTGGTCGTACTGTCGGTGTATCGAAAAAGAAAGCTTAAAATCAACGCTGAGAGTTTTATTGTTTTTGATCTTGTTATTTATCACCGTTAGGAAAGATTAAAAACAACAAAAAAGAGTATAATAAAAATAACAACCAGAAGAAAAGAATTTCAAACATTACTCCTTGTTAATTTATGAAAATCTTTCCCTTCCTAATTGCGAGTGCTCCATAAAATTTATTCGAACGTATTTTTAAGCATGGTTGGATAAGTGAGACATACTGGAAGTGTAAAAATACACTCAACTGCGTGACGCCATTCGAAAAATGTCCTCTATGTTGTATCAGAAAGAATAAATAGCAAACAAAAATTTAGCGGCCCGTCTCGGTTTCTACTATCCAGAGATCTTTGCGAAAGACGAAACAAAATATGCAGATATTCGATACGTGGGATTGTTCACCGGTTGCCTTAAAAGGAGCTTTTGTATTCGATTATACTGAAAAAGATCTATTAGAACTTGCTCTTCTTGTGGCTAGGAAATTTCCCCAGTTGAGAAAACAAAGCACTTTCGAAGGTACACGGCCTTCACGGTACATAAACTTGTGACTAAAACGCTCTTTAGAGAAAACTGAATATACTGTGACTGTCTCTCGCGTTCGCACTATCTATTCACGTAAAATGGCTGACATCAGAAAATCAATCTTGAAAACACACATAGCATTATGTCTCGCTATGTAGTCTATTTTTATCATAAGATGAAGACTTTGCTTAGGGCAAACGTATTATCAATCTCTTAATGAAAATAGACTTGGCTTTTGTAGTTTAATAGGTAGATATGAACAAGATTTCGTGCGGAACCGCTTAAATAGCCCAATTAAGCAGTATGAAGATGTCATGCAGAACTGTTCTCAACTGTTTCGCGATGAATAGCAAACGGCACAAAATCAGCAAATATTCAGCGGTGGGCGAAAATGTCTGCAAATATTCTAAACAACATTCTCGATTGCAGAGGATTATTGATTAGTGAAAAATGAGAAATGATAATAAATGTATTTTGAATGAATATTGCAAAAAACAACAAGCAGACATGATCTATGAGAATGACCTTTTCTGATCATTTGCAGATTGATCAGATGTTTCAGTTGTACTCGATGACGAAAAAGTATTTTTTCGATGAGCAGAATCGTTTGTATTCTTAGTAGTTGATGCCAAAGACGTTTCTTGCTGATGATCATTCTTAACAGTATCGTTCGCGTTATGATCGAGCATTTCTATGGGAATAAATTAAATGTTAAAAGATTTACTAGATACAGACTGTATTCTTACTTTTATATGTACGAGGATCACCTCCGTTCAAACTCATAGCTATGTCGTGCTGATATAATATCCGAAGATGGCACGTGTATGATATTATTGGCTGATGAGTTACAATGAAGATAGATGAGAACCGTTGTTCTCCTTTTATATACTCACGAGACTACATCGATTAGAAAATATTTAGTCCAGAGAAAAGGTTTGAGTACTATGTTTTATATGCTGCCACTCGTTCTTCTCTTTGCTAGAGTGAAAAGAACATTTCGTCAATTATGTGAAAAGAAACTAGATTCATATTTTCTCCCTCCCTCTTTCTTTCTCTCGCTGTTGTTCCTCATTGTGTTTAAGTCACGTGAATCTCCAGACATGGCATTTGAGTATAAGACAACATTCGCATATCATTGATTCATCAGAGGAATTCCATTATATTCAATCAAAGATAGACTGTGTATCAACATTCGTCTAGATGAACTTAAGTTGTTGTCACCATCTCGTTTTTCTTTAATACTTGTTTTTTTAGCAAAAAAGAAGGAAAAAAGTGCAATGAAAGAAAGAGAGAAAACGCAAGAAAGTAAAGAAGTACAACGAAAGAAGATTTTATGATTCTCATGTATGTGACGATGTGTGTTGTTCGCTGATGCAGGACATGGGACAGAGAGAAAGAGATAGAGCGAGAGAGACAAAGATTCACACGTGATTAACATCATCAGTCAAAAAAGAAACGAAAACGAGCTAGATTTTGAAACGAAAGAGAACATAAGAAACGTACACGTCAAAGGGTAAGGATCACAAGAAGGAGCACGAGTAAATTTGCTCTGTGTCGATTAATCTGGTTGCTGGAAGACAGATGTTGATTTAGTCATTATGTTTACTCCGTTTAAAACGATGAAATCAAGCAGACGAATAAAAGCATGTACAAAAACATGAGAAAGCAGCAACCATGAAGAAAAAATACACACATGCGCACACAAATATATATGTAATATATTAGGTGACGAGAATAAAAAATCAAATATGTGGATTGTTTTTTCATCAATATTTCCTAGTCCGTAGAACACTTTATTTGACACCATTGGTATGTTGTTTGGGTGGCCGTTGCTCTTTAGGTGCGCCACCATTTATCGAGTCGGACGTGGACACATCGTTGGACTCCGTTCCATTGTTGGATGATGTTTGTTGAGATTTCTTTGATGACATCTGGTGCGATTGTCCACCAATACCGTAATTCTCTTCGTAATATTCATGTTGGTTATTATTCATATTATTGTTATTATAGCGATAATTGTTACCACCACGATTGCCACGAGAATTACCATATCGATAGCGTTGCGTTGAATACTGATCATTATACTGTTGTTGACCTTCTAAATGAGAAAATTAGTAAAGTTTTTCATATATGGGATTTTTCGCATACCATTGGCTTCCTGAACATCATAGGTTGTGCTTTCAGCGTCATTGTTTCGACGACGATCATTATAACCTACGAAGAAAACAGTTCATAATAGATATTCAACATTAGTTCCATCAGTGAGTCACAGCAAACATGCGTCTGTTATTATTAAAAAAAGAATGCGTTCGTTTAGATGCATGCGAGCCGATCATCTTGTTATGTATGCATGAAGCAAAAGAGAAATTAAAGAAAGCATCCATTGTTATATGCACACCTTGGCGGTTAGGTAGTGGTGGTCGACCACGTTGCCAGCCGCGTCGGCCACCTCGTCCACCAGCACCTCTGGGTAGCGTAGCTGAATGTATCATACTGTCAGTGCTGTAGCCAGCCTCTTGTTGTTGTTCACTTTCGACCTGTGCTGCCCAGTCGCGAAATTTTCGACCGGTACCAACCGTTGACGATGCTGCATCGCCACACTCACTAGCTTCGTCTGTGAAGATAAATATGATCATCCTTGTGTTTCTCATATGAGACAATTGATTCTTCTCGTTTCCAAAACAGAACAAGAAACTCGCTCAGACTAACACTTACCACCAGTACCGGCATCACTTTGTGTGCCACCACGATATAAATTACCACCAGCACCACGACGTCCGCGATTAGCACTACCTCCGCCGAAGTTATTTGATCGACGAGATTGTTGATTGTTATAATTATCACCACGCTGTTGTTGTTGTTGTTGAGGATAGGGTTGCTGCTGATAATTAGTATCACGAAAACTGCGTGTACTACCAGAATTACTCATTCGATCGGACTCATAACTAAAATAACGGATTCAATGTCGATTTTGTTCTGTTGTCTCGAAAAACTAAATAAATCTACTCATACCGTTGCGGTCGACTGCCTTGGTAGCCCATTCCCGTAGTTATGCTCATCGAAGTGCCTTGCTGTGGACCAACGATTGTACGAAATTGTTCATTCACTTGGATCTTCTTTTCTTGTAATTCGTCGAATTCCTTTAGAAAATAACATCTTCTCATCACATCAATGCATCTTCTGCACGAAAACGTACTTTTAGAGAAGCTAAATGGTATTCGAGTAAAACTTTTGCATTGGCGATGCTTTCCGCTGTGCCGACAAAGATAAATGGCACTTGACTCTAGAGAACAATCAAGAATTCGTGCGAATCTTTAAAGAATATGCTTTAACTTACAGGATAATTGCTTTCATCATGTGCTGTTGGTTGTTCATTATCTCCTTCAATTTTAACACGCACTACTCCGCTTCTATCCACTATTTCTTGAATGATATGACCTTTTTTACCAATAACTTTGCCTAAATTTGCCAATCAATCAAAAAATACTCTCAACTTCATAATTCCTGCACTTACCTATTAGTTCTCGCGGAATTGACACAGAATCTTCAGTATACTCGAGTATACTACGCGCTTCTTTTACAGCTTTGTCTGTCTATAAAAATGCAGATCATTTTCAATAATGAGAGAAAACTTCACGACTGATCCAAGTCTTACATCACCAAACACTTTAATCGTACAAGTTTCATCCTCAACTTCAATAGCTGTGACGCCAGGTACTTCGCGTGCTTTAGCAATGTTTGATCCATGTGAACCAATAGCAAGACCCATTAGCTCAGTTTTGACAGTGAATTTTTCGAAAAATTTGGATGTTTGATTGACCTTGATTCGCTATAAAAGAGAGAACATCTCTTCAAACGAGCCAGTTGCGCATGGTCATATCGATCTTACTTCAAGTTGTTTCGAAACTTTTTCTGTTTCTTGAACAAGTTTGGCTTTTGAACGTAAATTTCGAAAATGCATTTCGGATAATATTTGAGCACGGCGAAGTGTACTGTCATTGTCAGACTAGAAGGTCAAAATTCAGATTATGCATAGACAAAGTCAACAATGACATTCGACATACGATAACAACAAGACATTCTTTTGCTTTATCATATCGAACAACTGCAGCACCCGATGTTCTCTTGAAATCTTTGTGATTTGCTGGATTATTACATCTAGAATTGCATAGCCATCGTTGCTTTTCTTTCTGAATACAAAATCGAATCACAACTTACGCTTCTTGACTCTCTTTAGGAACAGGTAGTTCTATCCGTTTAAACATTGAATAAGTGATCGGTGGACTATTGATCAATGAAAGGAAAGTTTCGGCATAGCTGTTGGAAGAAAAAAATCAGTTTTACTTTGTATTTGGATAGCGAATTCTATCACTCGGTACGATGTCCGAATAAACGGAGCCTTGAGCACTGCCTTTATAATCAACAACAAAAAATTCGCCTCTGAACATTTTTGCAGTTGCCGGCCACCAGCCGAGTGGTTCGTCCTCTTTGGCTTTTGCGAGAACCTAATGAAGAAAGTGGATGAAATCCTCAAAACGTAATGTGCGATATATCATACTTCACATGCATCGCCAGGTGCTAGTTTTTTTAGATCACTTGGTTCTGGCGGTAGTCGGACGCGATTATCAGAAAAGGGAACTTTTGTTGGAGGGAGAAAACTACGAAATTAAAATCGATCGAATGAGAATTATGTAATTAAAAGGCATTGAAACTTACTCTTGATCATATTTAACATCAATACCGATTGTATCCACATCATGAACATGTGCCTAAAGAGAAACGTCTTGGCCTGCTATTGATAATATCAAATAATTTACTTTGTAGTAGGCACCGTTAGGATGTCCCACTTCAACGCTGAGATCGTTCATTTGCGCTTCTTTGAAATAGATCTATGTATTTTCAATCAGATCAAACGTCTGTTGGAGGCGATAATAACAATATGCAAAAAGATTATGTTTCTAAGTACCAAGATACACTAATACATGCAGTTGACAATCACTGACGATGTTCTTTTTTTCTCTTTGATTTGCTTAATGATCAATGAAGAGAGATACTATCTAGAACACAACGTTAGATTATATAATACAACGTCATAACCTTCTGTCGACATCGAGAAAAATCCACGAACGCCGCTAGTAAATTTTGTCGAATCTAGCGAATAGTAACAATATTTTGCACTAATATAAAAAGAGATTGTACAGGAAAATGAACAGACGGAAGCCTTGTTTGTTTATTTACTTTTCTTCTTTTTCTCTCAAAGAAGGATTTGTTAAGAAATTACATTTTGGTAAAAAATGGAACGGCCTCTGTCAAGGAAAAAGACTTGAAACTAGACAATAATTCGCATATATTCAGATAGGCATTGAAGTCAACATCAACTTGAGTCAATTTAATCTCAAAACAAACAAGAAACTTTTCGTATAGATGTCGCTCGTATGCACTTTATATATGAAAAAATACAGAAAATGAACTATTCCAACTAGGGTTTGATTATCATGATTGATTTCTAGTAGTTTCATCCGAGGACGATGAGGAACTGTTCACAGCTGTCGAACGGTCCGCATTCGTTTCATCCGCATTCGTTTCTATTGTTTCCTGCATGGTTTGCTCGTAAGACGGTGGTTTATCCGAACTATTTGATATCATTGAAGTGTACCGAGGTGGATACGAGTAATCATACGTTCCCGGAGGTATTTGATCACTATTATAAATCGGAATAATTGTTGCCATATAAGTTTGTTGCTGTGCTAGAAAGAACAAAATGAAATTTCGAACATTTCCAGGTAATTGCCGCTCACCTCGTCTTAATTGTTTTTGCCGGCATCGAAGATAGAAATAGACGAGTGCGATGATAAATAAAACAGCTAATGGTATAATGATTCCTACGGCACTAAAACAATTCAACGAAGAAGCAGCGATGACATTTGTTCTTCAGCGAAACGCTTCTGACATGTCTTACACGTAAGTTGAGAGATGAGAAGCACAGTACTCATATTTGGCACTATCAGCATCGTAGCATGTTGTCATTTTGTTCTAGTAGGTTCGATAAGATATAAAATAAACACACGCTCAACAAATAGTTATGTCTTTTTCTCAAATGAATAATGTCCTCAATCGATTCTGTTTCCTCCATAATCAACAATACAGTTTTTTTTGCGTTTTTTTTTCATTCTTTTTCGTGTAATGCAATATATATGTGTGCAAAAAAAACCAGGACAAGCGTACCTTTTTTCCTCTCAGCCCTGTACCTGTCAGTTTGTCTCTCTAGTGCGCCATAAAAGTGCGCCCTGATGACTAGGCGTCACGCTTTATGCTCTCAGAATTCGACGAATTCATAATTATTTGAAAGAAAAAAAAACGAGAGAAATGAATCCTTACCTTCGGTCGATCGATATACCCTTGACGTTTTTTTTTCTTATCGTACACAGCAAAGGAATAATTTGCCATCAGCTCGTGTCTTTAAAGGTATGTGCGAGACACTGTTCAACAAAATCGAATGGTTTGGGACAAGTGAAATCTCCCATTGTTTTAAATCTCGTGATAATCATCGTAATTGAAAATGAACGTCAATATGAACCAAGGGTACAGACCAAAACCAGATATCAATCGAAACTGATATATATCATTCTATTTATTTATCATTTTTTCTATCTTCTCGGGTTCATTTAGAATATGTTCTATTAACTTTCATAGCTTTGAAATCAATCTACGAACGACCGAGCGATGAGCACTTGAATTTGAACGATGAGCTATGCCCGCTGTCGAAAAATATTCAATATCGCAGATATGCACATTTCATCTCAGAGTCTAGTAAAATTACACAACCAAATTTCGTATTGAACTATTTCTCTCCTAATTGATGTCAATCAATGGTGCACATTAGTAATGAAAACAAAGATACAAATTTGATTTCCGTCGTTGATACGGAAATGATTCTAATTAACTTCGGCAATCAAACAGAAGAGGAGCGATTCGAGTATAACTACATGATTTGTTTCTTTTATTCATCAGAATCGATTGAAGACAAATGTTAATCGAAAGGAACAGAGAGAAGAAAGCAAAACCGAATTTCGTTATTTGCTCATGATTGTTTTTCGAAAGCTAGATACCAGTGTACAACTGATCATCAATAAAGACGACACAGGTCAAAGAGAAGAAAACAAAGCAAGACAAGTTTTATTTTCACACATAAACATACAAGTTAATATTCTTCTTTAAACAAATTTGACAACCCTCTCCCTCCATCTTCTTTTCTTTTCGTCACAGAAGCAGCAGAAGAAAAACAAAAACAATAGGACAAGATACATATAAGTTGGTTTTTTTTTCGTGTGCAAAAGAATTATCAGACATTTGATTTCAAAGAGAAGAGGAAAAACAGGAAACAAGAAGCGCAGCGCTTTTTTTGTTTCGATATATGTTCAAAAGAAAAACGCAAGAATATGTATGAATGGACAAACGCACATTCGTCTAATCTACTACAGTCTAACTCATGCACAAAGAAAGAGAGGAAAGAAAACACATTAGAGATATACATGACCTGCGCACGTTCAGGTATCACTGAGACTGTGCAGAAATTCGCCTAGATTGGAAGCAATAAGAAAGATTTCCTGATAAATCTACGAGAGGGGATCGAGCACCACCCACTTTGGAAAAAATATATGCGGGTAGAGAAAGAAAAGGAAGGAGCGAGACACGACTACAACCACAGTGAAGAAGAGATAGATAGGAGGGATTTTCTCGTTTAAAAAACACACAAACTCACTGTTGATTATTAAAGAACAAACGAAAGAAAGAGGAAAAATTGCGAGACGTTTATACACACAAATATCGATATTTGTCTTTTTGTTGAATAAGAACATTAATCTTTAACCCAAGCATGCTCCAGTAAGGATTCAAATGACGGGCGTCGGTCAGGATTTTGGGCGAGACAACGTTGAATTAGATTTTTCAATGAAGCTGACATATGTGGTTTGAGAACTAATTTGTGACCAGTGATATCCTCTTCACTTTCAAACGGTAGACTACCACAAACCTAAAACAAACACAAATCAAACGAAACGAATCAAGTTTTCGACTTACCATATCATACAGCAGCACACCGAGTGTCCATACAGTCGATGGAATACCTGCATAACGTTTTTTCGTGATGTATTCGGGCGATTTATACTGTTTTGTGCCATGAAAATCTGAATAATAGGATGTCGACGATTTACAAATGGCACTGGCACCAAAATCGATCAACACGAGTGATTCGGATTCCAGATCAACTAAAATGTTTTCACTTTTGAGATCACGATGTACAACGCCCTTTCTAAATAAAGACAAATAGAGATCTATTAATATCAATGATGCAATCAAGTCTTTTCATCAATCATTATACAAGAAGAACGAACAGCTGCATCGAACACTTCACATATGTAACCATCTTGTGTCTTTTTTATTAGTATGATATTAAAATTTTCTAGTCATTCGTTTCAAAATTCACATGATTGCTTCGAGTTACTTTCACATTTAATCGCTGCAGGGCCGGTATGATTTATCTCTTTTGCAATACTTTCCTCATTATAGCTAGGATACTTGACAAAATTTGTTCTTCATCGATGTGAACATCTGTTGTATCTTCGAGGGTTTCTTTCCAGCAATTTAGTTCTATATCATCATCAATTTCAATGAACCTTGCGATAGTCTAAACAGTACTTGATCGCAGTAGTGTCTCTAATCTCAGTCTGAGGCATATCGACTTTCTCTCGCGCTCTGATTTATATCGTCGACAACATGGCAGCTATTTGTTTATGCTTGAATCTTACCGTAGCATGGCTAGATTGATATGCACTAATTGTTGAAAGAATTTTCGCGCTGTTGCTTCGCTCAAATGGCCACTCTCCGTCGACTCGAGAAAGTCGAATAGATCTTGACAATTACGTAAACGTTCCATGACTAATATCCAGTGTTGAGCATTCTCGAAATAATCATACACATGAATAATACCTGGCAAAGATGAACAAAGATGTGTGCCAACCGAAAGCATAACTAGGAATACTCTACCTTGTATTTCATGCACGGCTTTATGTAATAAAATTTCCGCTGGATACTTTTTCTGACTAATCATCAACCAATTTTTTGTTTTCTCTTTTGGAATAAACTTGACTACAACTGGTTTATTGTCACTCAAACGAGTGCCTTCGTAGATATCGGAAAATCCTCCACTTCGGATAAATTCACCCAATTGATAATAGTCACCAAAATTTGATTTAATTACATCGAATCGTACCATGTTGAAGAGAACTTGTTCGATGGATAATGCATCCACAGTTGGCGAATAGTTCGGTGTTTTTAAAAGCATAGACGCAGTAGCACTTGAATTTGTAGTTTGTTCATTTTGTGCACGTGTGTGGTTTATTAGAAAATCTTTCTTTGTGGTTAATGACAGTGATGATGAAGACGATGACGAAGATGTATTGGAACAACTGGATGGAAATTGTAGTTGATTATTTTCATATGGGCGATACGCATTGAAACGTGTCGTCAGGGATGCCGAAGACTTTTGTTCAGTAGAATTGGACGACGACGATGGTGGTTGTTCTTGATCACGATAAACTCCGACGGGTAGGATACGTGTTGACATGAATGATGGTGGTTCGATAAATTCGGTTAAGGATGATGTTGATGATGATGAGGAGAGGGAAAAAACAGCTACACTATTATTGCCATGATCTTCATTAGTGTGCAAGGACGATGACGATGAAGACGAAGATGATGATGATGATGATGAGTCAACTTCAGATAGTTTGTTATTGTGATCGTCTAAAATAAACGAACAGAATTCGAATGATTTGCAATTTATTGAAAACTTTAAGAAAAAAAAACTATATCCAGCTGAACATCACACATCTACATGCGCTTGTTCTGTTTGCTTGGTTTGACCGTTTAGAAGCAATGTACAATCAGCTATTTTCTCTCCTTCTTTCTTTCTTTCTTTCTGTAACTGGCCGGTCGATGTCCAGCGAAAGCATATGTATATACGCGACAACACTTCACCGAATTTTTTTCTTCTCTTCTCTTCTTCTTCCCCTTCTCTTTCCTTTGCGCTAACCCATTTTATATGAATAAACACACTCACTCGTTCGACAGCTGAAACGAATACGTACTCGTCCGTCTACAGTCGAAGCTGTCCGGGGATACACTATTTTTCTCCTGTCTTGACACTTCTGCTGTCTCCTTTTCTCTCCTCTTTGCGTTTTTTCTCTTCTCATCCAATACTCGTAGAGTGCATACACGTTCAAGGTTCCTTCTTTATATGGGTACACACACTGCAATCTGTCACATACTTTCTAGTTAATGTTACGTAATGCAGAACAAAAAAAAACGAGAGAAGAAGAAAAAGAAAAGAAAGAAGTGTCAAAAACGATTCATTGCTAGATATTTTCTGGTTGAGCAGACGAGTGTATTGATGGACGATGCCGTTAACCACAAAAGACAGAGAGAGAGAGAAAGAATTGTGCATTAGCAAGAAAAAGAAAGAAAATATTCAAGGAAGAAAAAGCTATCATATGAGGCAACGACGAAAAGGATAAAAAAGAAAGAAGAAGAAGAAGAAGAAAAAGAAAAAAAAGAAGTTTGCGGTCGAAGCTGTATCGAATAAACATGCATGCTCAACCCACGCGTCGTAGCATACGGTTTTGACGACGGTAACTCGTAACTAATGTAAAATGGCGAGGAAAAAAGAAATCATATGTTTCAGTCATTCTCCTCCATCGTTTTCTCTAAAGTGCATGGTTCTCAAAGCAAGGTCGTCGAGACTTTGGCGTATGTGTTCAAACAAGCAGATTAATTCAATTTGCTTTTCTATTACCAACAATAAAATAGAAAAAGAAGAAGAAGAAGAGAACGACCTTGCCAGGACATATCTCGGAGTATAACAACAAAAAACAAAAATTTCTTTATTTCTTGCTATCTATCAGTGTTTGATGACTCTCTTTTATTGACTTTTACTATAACTGTCAGGACCTTGTAGTGTCGCCAACATCGTGTTCTCTACTGTACTATTCGGATATACAACAACCTTGCTGTTCAATATGTGATCTATTTAAGCAACGGATCGAACACAAGAGTAAGAGACAGGAAAATGTGTAATTAGCCGTAAAACCTTGGTATATGCATTGCGACTAAACGATCAATCGATGAGAGAGTTTCAAGGATGAATAGCGAGAATAGAAAGAGAGAGAGAAAAAAAACGAACTGAAAGAACATGAAGCAAAAAATTGAAATAATACTTTGCTTCTTTTTTTTTCAAAAGGGATTTATTCAGTTGTCATGTTGTGGCGATGATGTTGGCTGCTATGATAAGCTGTACACAGCAACGATAGACGAACGCATACAAAAAGAAACAGATGTTGTCTATGTAAACATACCAACAGACAGAACTAGTCGATTCTCGATCGAGAAAATTAGAGAAGGGATTAGCGACTAAACAAACCGGTAATAACCGCCAATCATCAGTGATCATGCAGGTGATATATGAAAGTGAAATCATCATGTCAAAAGTCAAACTCACTTGATTTCGCAAGCACCATTCCCGAAGTCGATTTGCATGTTTGTCTTATATAACAGGGTAATCTATTTGTCAGAGATACTGAAGGCTGATGATGAACATCGTTGATTTCGCCTGCAAGCATTGCCTGTGTCATTGGTAAAATAAATATGATGATCGATGATGCGCAACTATTGTTTTTTGTTTTTCTCTATACGGGCGTCGGTTTGTTCTCGACACAGAAATGATTGTTTATCAGTGATCGATAGAGTAGTCATGACTGCCGTCGACGTCGAGAAAATTTTTTCACAGGAGAAAAACAAACGAAAAAACGTCGGTTTTCCTACTCGAGGAAAACCAACGAGGAAACTCGACTTTCATTCAATATCTATCTACTTTCTTTTTCTTGCACTAGACTAACATTAAGATATGACGGCGAGATACTATTTACCTTAGGGACACAATCAAAAAGAACTGAATAGTCAGATAAAGAGTTATCTCTGTCTAGAAATCATATCTTCTTACCTAATGACGCATTATTAGTGACCATGTCACTTAAACATAAACTGGATTTGCTTTTGAAAAATCGAAGTAATCCCATGATTGCTTTGTTCTGGAGATTTCTTTTGACGATTATGTGTTTATATATATATATATGTACACAGACGCGAATGTGAAGCAGAATAATAGAATAGTTTATGGTATTGGAATTGCAAATAGATCTAAAAATTCCCCACATAGACAAAATATAGATCAGTTCAAAGTCGAATTATTTCGAGAAGGATAAACGGACCTATTTATTAGCACATTCTTTCTAATCCGCAGGCTGCTATGCAGAGACTAAACTGCTAAGATGTTCCTGACGAAAATAACTGCGAAATGCTAATCAAAACAGATAGAAAAAAAGAGAGGGGTCGGGTATGTCGTGGCATAACTTTACTCTTATCTGCTGCTTCTTTCTGTTTTTCATGTAGCTACGAATAGGTATATATGCAATTCTACAGGTGATTATTAGTTAGTGATTATATGTTTTACTCTCGCTCTTCGCTTGTCTCATTTTGCTTTTGCTTATCTCACCTGTATGTGTTTAGAGAGCAAAGAATACAACTCAAAGTTCGGCTCTGTTAACCTGAGTCAGACCATTTGTTTGATTTACATGAATATGTTATTATCAGCACATCCATTAGAATCTTATCTTCTTATGAGTCAGTTTGCTATATAAACAAGTTAGACATACCGATTAAAGCAAGAACGTCATATTGAAAGTCTGATTATTATTATGATGATGATGATGTCATTTAAGAAGAGGAAGAAGACGAGACGTGAGACTATTTTGTCGTTAGCTTTACCTTTTTTTTTTGACAGTTTATGCTGTGCTTTTAAAGACTTACATATCGATGGGGAAAATGAGAAAGAGAAGAAATGTCTTTTTTCTCAAGCATGTGACTTCCCATTAGTCAGGTGTTCTATAGGCGGCAACTCCCCGAATGTCATATGACGAAGATAAAGGGGGTTGATTCACGTACAGTGACATTGGGCATCGTATAATTTTGTTTCACGTTAATTAAATACCTACCCATTCGCTCATCGTTCCATGTTACGAAAAACATATTTTGACCAATATTACGTTATGAAGATACTACTAGATCTGTTTTCGAAATGTTCTCGTTGCTCAACTCGCATTTTTCATGAAGAAGGAAATAAACGTTTATACACAGAATATAATCGGTGTGTTGCTAATACAGAAAGCTGCTTACCGTCTCGAATAATCGAGAACAGGAACAGAAAGAGAAAAACATGCACTTTTCAAGGGTACCTGCTATAAGTACACGGCGCGACTCTCGAGTTAAACAAGTCCGTCAATATACAATTAAAACATCATGCTTAGACAAGATCCTATACTTTTAAACCATAAGTACATGTGTCATATGAAGAAAAAAAAACAATATTTACTGGGGCATTCGTTAGCAAATAATAAGGTGTTTTTCTTCTTCTATAAAATTTTATCATCTGTGTACTTTGACAAGAGAATAGGCGCTAAAAGCATGTTTGAGCGGTAAAATTTTTCAAGTAGGCTCGATATTTAACAAAGACGTAGATAGATGGCAAGGATGAAATTAAAAGTATGTGCACGACTTATGTAATGGCGTAATAGATATAATTATCTACGTTATTATTTGTGATCGAATTGATTGCTTGTAAACAAAACGTGTGATAAGACATGGCATGCAGAAATTCCTAGTTTCGAGCGTTATTAGCACGACGGTCGGAAAGACGCATGCCGTTCATTTCTGATTACCTTTCACAAAGATCTGTCAGCTTGAATATACCGGTGATGGTTCGAGCAGTGTGCGCTGTTGTTGAACGTGCCGAATCTACATGTAAAAATCTTCCTTTTTCGTTCTTTTCAGCCACTATGTTAAGACTTATGAACACACACGTGTCGGAACATGTGTTCAGATGTTATACACATTCTTTCTCATTTGTCACATGAGATCAGATTATACAATCACACATAGCTATAGAACAAATAATGTTAAGTCTGACTAAGAGAATACGGTGATGCAACAACAACTCTAAGATCGTCTGTACGCGAAGTGCTAGGAACAATGTAATTGATATCGTAGATGATGCACATAATGAGAGACGAGGGTATTTGTCGTTTTGTTGAACTATATAGAATGGGATTAAGTGATCGATTTTGAAGCATGTGAAAAAGGTAAAGACAACCCATAATAATCATAAAACGTGATGAAAGATTTGTATCTCAGTGACAATCAGAAAAAGTATGATACACTTGATGAGTGCATACATTTCTAGAGAAAATAACAGAAACAGTCAATTGGAGTCGTTCTCGTCTAACATCTGCGTACATCAATAATTCATACTGCGCCAGTATCAGTTGCCATTGGACAACAGAAGGAGGTGGAAAAAGCGATTACATGATCAATATTTGCTGAGCATGATAAGAAAATGCGAAGAATATCGTTGGATAGTTAGTACTAGATATCTTGACTAAAATTTATTTGATGTAAATAGAAAAGTACAGAGAGACAGAGGATTCTAAATGTTCATTTTACGTATTATACATTAGTTGTTGCTCTATAGCCATTGTTTTTATTGAGCAGTTTCGAAGCATGATGTGCCTAGAAGGCAAAGAATTCACATGTCTGTATTTCAAATACAAAAGATTTTACCTGTACGAGTGAAAAACGTTGTAATTCGTTGCGATCAACCATGAATAGTGGATTTTCGTCGGCTTGATTATGAATCATTTTTGCAAAATTTCGATGATGATGTATTGACAAATGTTGGGTGTGGGGTGTGTAATATCTGGCAGTAGCTTGTGCGAATGTTTCTCTTCTTGACGGTCTTTGAACTGAAGTTCTTCTTATGAAGCTGCGTGATGGTGGACCAAAGATGTCACTTGAGATCGTAGTTTGTCGACGAAGACGTTGATTTTCAGTAGACGGCTGTGCAGTGAACGTTTCAGCCATGGTTTGTGTATGTTGTCGATCGAAGTATGCACGAAGAGCGAACTAAATTCAAATACAGATTGTCGATTTTATTGTTCGATCTGTGACAATTTACTTTCAAAAGATCTAATGGGAAGAACCAAATAAGATTCCATATCCAAACAATAGCTGCCCATGTCCATCCACAACCGTGTATATGGGTGAAATTCCAGTTAGCCCAAACCGCAATGAACGTTGCAATCAGTTGAGCAATGAGAAAAGCACCGACGAGGACGATGGATGGACGTTCAAGAAAGAAGAAACTATGCGAACGAGTAATGAAGATCAATGCTTGACTAATGGTTGACACTTGTAGATAGATAATCGAATTTAAGACTGGATGATTGTAACCTGGATTGACATTTGATTGTGAATTGTATGGAAAGTGTTGGACGCCGAATTTATCTTGAAAAAATGTTGTGTCGACTGCAACTGTAAAGAAAGCAATCGTTGAAGCTGCTAGATAGACGCCATATACGATTGCATATGTGAAGATTTCCGAGAGGTGCCAACTGTTCGGATAAGAAGACGGCTTTACTCGATCTTTCGATATAGTTAGGATTGTACCGTCGTTGAGAATAGCAAGAATCAGAATCTAGAGAGCGTGTATGCGTTGATGCTTCATCGAGATTGAAACGACTTGGTTATCACTTACCATAAATGAGGGAAAGTCGAATTTGTAGGCAAAGATCAGCACAGAAAAGCCGACCAAGATACGAATTGTTATGGAACATGTGTAGATAGCATAGTTTCGCATACGTTGGAAGATTTGTCTCGAGCCAAGAATAGCTAGAAACCAGAATAGGATTGAAATTAAAGATCAAACAAACTATGAAGCGCTATATTTACCATCGATAATGACTGATAAACCTGGTTCTGTCAGTACAATATCCGCTGCTGATCGCGCAGCATCGGACGCATCTGCAACGGCAACACCCACATTGGCTTTCGACAATGCTGGCGCATCATTGACTCCATCACCAGTCATTGCAATCATATGACCCATCTTTTGTAATCGATCAACAATCTCGTATTTGTGTTCAGGATATACACCAGCAAAACCATCGGCATGTAAAACTAAATCATCAACATCTCGATAACCAGAAGCCGGTGGAGGTCCGTCTTTGAGCGTAGTCGAGAGAAACATATTATCGCCCATGCCGAGACGTCGGCCCGTTTCTTTAGCAATTGCTAATTGGTCACCAGTTAACATTTTAACTTTGACACCTACTCATTTCAGATCATGAAAATAGGAACCAGAATATAGAAGAGGTACTTGCCAAGTTCTAATGCGCGTTCGATGGTTTCTTTGGTATCTTCACGTGGTGGATCATAGATAGGTAAAAGACCGATTAATTTGAATCCATTTCCTTTGCCGTCTTTTTCTCCACTAGGAACATCCTCAATAGCTACTGCCAATGCTCGTAAACCACGTCCAGCGAATTCATCGACATCAGCGTTTAATTGTTTGATTTGTTGATCCGTTTTGTCGCGTGTACATAAATCAAGAATTGTATGTGACATACCTTTGCTAATTCGATGTACACTTCCATCCTTCGTTTCTTTATAGGTGATCTCTGTTCGTTTAATAGTTGGATTAAATCTATAGAAAATGACGTAGATATCTGGTATTCGTAACAAC